AAGCGGAATTACATTGTATCTGATCATCACAAATTGAAAACTCTTTTGAATTCATCTTTAATATTCAAAGCAAATTCATCCATCCACTCATGCTGTCATGCTTTATTTTGTTGAGAAATAACTTTGAAAAACACCCTCCTAGCATTTCTTGATGATTTCTTCATCCGCCATATTGGGTAGGCAGATGATTCCTGTAGCATTTACTTCATGGAATCCATCTGCCACAACAGGGTGTGCCTAGTTGAGAAAGCCCCTCCTCCAGATGAAAGAAAAAAATCCTCATTCCTTCTGGAATATATGACATTATTTTAGCCTAGGCCAGAAACCAGGAAGCAACTGAAGAAATGTTGTAGTGCTACCCCAGAAGGAGTCGCTGATTAAGATGGGTCCTCTGTTCCTGACAAAGCCACAGTATCACAGGAAATCACTGATAGGAACACTAAGTGCCCAACAATAAAGCTATTTCATAGAACCACAAGCACCAAATCAATTAGCAAGAACAAACGTCATATAATTTCAGAAAAACAAAGTAATAACAGGCATGCAGAGATAAAAGGGTAAAATGAATAATAATGGTACTGATACACTAGTATACAGGATAATTAGCAATAAAGGCAAGGTGCAGAATGCCACTTGCTATCCAGATCAGCATAAACAGTAACACCTGAAGTGCAGCAGTGAGCAGTAAAAGACTTAAACTATAACCCATTGGAGCCAGAGGTGTAGCTTGAAGCTTGTGGGCCCCGATGCAAAATTTGATTTGGGGGCCCCCCACTACCACCCTCTCCACTTCCACTGCACATGCCCCAGGGCTTCTGGGTTTACCTATGCAGGGTGATGCGGCAATCGCTTTTCCCCAGTGACACAGTGTAAAACAAGGGTAGGCAACATATGAGATGTGAAGATCTACCTGAATAACATGAAAGGGATCAAAAGATCTCCAGGGTTCAGCACCCTTTTGAAAGAAATTAACTAGCAAAGTTTAATTATAGTAGAACTATAGGCAATTTTTTTGTTTTCGTTTTGGATATAGTAACAGAGGGTTATAAACCCAGATTTTTTTTCCACCATCTGTGTCCTATTGCGGAGATTTCCCTTCACTTCCTGTCCCATAGCCAAAACAGGAAGTGAGAGAAAATCCCTGCAAATTAAGGGAATCCCTTGGGGGCCACCAGAACTAGTTTCTCCATTGAAAGATTTCCCTTCTATTACTGTTCTGCAGACAACCCAAAATGTGAGGTTTTTTTTTACTTTCACTTTCAATGACAATGGTAAGCAGGCCAAACAGAGGGTGAATCTCATCTCCCCAACATGGGCAGAGGTAGCATTAATAACTGACAGGGAGTCTAATCCGTCTCCACTCTGTCCAAAACTAAAAAAAAAAAAAGTTTTTCTTTTTACATTTTTTATACTTTATATACTAAGGAATACTTAAAAATAAAACAAATATCACTGTAAAAATATAAATTTAGTCTACCTTAAAAGTAGACAGTTTCAGTCAGAGCAGTGGATGGTGTCAGTAGAGTAGTGGATGCTGTCAAGTAAAGCAATGGATGGTGTCCGTAGGGCAGAGGTTAGTGTCAGTAGGGCAGTGGACAGTGTCAGTAGAGCAGTAGACAGTATCAGCAGGACAATGGACAGTGTCAGTAGAGTGGAGAATGCGTCAGTAGGGCAGTGGACGGTGTCAGTAGGGCAGAGGACAGTGTCAATGGGGTGTCAGTAGGGCAGTGGATGGTGTCAGCAGGACAGTGTCAGTAGAGCAGTGGGTGATGTCAGCAGAGTGGAGAACTTGCCAGAAGAGGTTGGTGTCAGTCGGGTAGTGGACAGTGTCACAGACAGACAGATTCACCCCACAGCTGCCAGGGAGGGAGGATCACAATTAACCCCTCAATGACTGGACATCTTTACTACGTAACCAGCAGCCACAACGTGAAGCTTGCTGACTATTTTACACTTATCTTTTTTCACAGTCAGTGTGGAGTCTGTCGGGGGGGGGGGGGGGGGGGGGGGGGAGGGGGGTCTCTACATTGCAGGCGGTGGTTAGTAGTTTAGAATGAGGGGTGTCAGTGTGGGGGGTCTGCCTCTGTGGGGCAAGGGTATCATGGGGGACAGAATATCTTGGGCTACATTAAAATCAGGGGAGATATAGAGGGGTGCGGAATATCACAGCCTGCATTACTATCTTATAGCACCCCCACCCCCCAAAAACTACTGCCACCTCCCCCTACTGACAGACCCCCCCCCCCCCCAGCCCGCTCTCCTGTCCCTCATAAGATAATCAGTGGGTGCTTTAAGTTGTACATGGTAGAGGTATCTGGCAATTGAGAGGTTAATTGTTAGGCACACGCTCAGCAATGTTAATCGTGATAATGATGTCTGTGTCCCTTCTCAGCTGTCACAATACTGTGCTTCCAAATGTCTCACATGAAATCTGGTACTCACTGCCTCTGTTCTTACCTGGTGTGTATGAAGTGAAATGCTTTCAGGAACTCTTCAGCTCCAGCTCTGAGCTGATTCCCTGATTGCCTCTCTGTGTTATCTGGAGCCGGGTGATAGCACTGAGGGGGGCACAGGAGAGTACACAGGAGACCTAGGCAGCAAGAGGAACAGGACAGGGGGATGAGAGCTTTACTAAATCCAATCAGCTGGAAGAGAAGAGGGCTTGCAGCTGCTGCTGGAAAATACAGCTGATTGTTCCTCTTGCTGCCCAGGCCCCCCCTGGAGCATGAGCCGGATTGCCATTGTGACCCCTGGGACCCCTATTGCTATGCCCATGACTGGAGCTATACTGCCAGAGTGCAGTAATGGAGGCTATGCTACGCCCAATGCCATCTGGTAAGCATTGTCAGAGCTTGAAAGATAAAAAGATGGGTGAAGGGAGACAGGCTGGGATTTGCAAGCAGGTTATAGGATAGGGGCAGTCCTTAAGATGTTTCTTCTTCTGGCTATCGTTGGGGCCCTTTAAGATGTGTTGGTGCACGTAACAACAATACTAAAGAACCTGCATGCAGTTGTGGCACACTGTAAGTGTGGTAGTTTCTGTACGGTTACAGGATATATGCAGGTCTGTAACAGTGATAGTTCAGTGCAGGGTTAGGATAGGGTTTGTATGAATGCGGTAGGATTTTTGGTAAAGGTGCTATGTAAGACTGGTATAGATGCTGGCTGTGTGAAATGCAAATAGAGTCCTGTCTTCTCAACTCTGCCAGCAGTATAAGCAATAGGCCGATAGCCTCTCACCAGTCCCATGGCTACAGCTGTAGATGTCTGCTGTGGAAGGGGCCCCCTCAGTTTCTCCCTGAAGCCTCCAGAAAGCAGCGATGTGCGCAACTTGTGGATGCATGTTTGCGCACCTTGTGACAGGGTTTAAAGAGTTGCTCGTACAGCGATGCTATTCTGCAACAGGCACCTCAACCCACTATAGCAGATTTGGATCTCTTAAAGTTAGACCTCTGGGGAACAGGAGCAGTTGGACAGAGGTCCTCTTTCTTCCAGATTCTGGGTACCAAAAGCCCAAAACTTTCCCAGGCAGTCTCACTCCTCTTTTGAGTCCTGTCTATTGGGATCTGTATTCCCTGCAGTCATCCCTGTCTAGTGTGTGGTTCTCCCAAAAACTACATCCCCCAGCATCCATTACATCTCCTCTTGCTGCCTATTGGCTGAGCAGCGGCCACTAGAGAGAGGGAGAGCGGGGGGGGGGGGGGCGGGATTCTTGAGGGTAGAGGATGTTAGAGAGAAACTTGCAGCATAGCCATTCCCACAACTCCAGCTGGGGACTGCGGGAGACAGCAGGCACCCGGCTACACAGCAAAAAAAAAAAAAAGTTTGAAGCAAGTAAATATAATACACCTTCCTATCTCTTTATAAAGGCTAGCAGCCTAAGGATTAAAAATAATTGATTGGGAGTTTAGTTCTGCTTTACAAACAGACAGCATCTAATAATTTTCTGCAAAATAGTAGTTGGTTCTGGTATGAAGTTAAAATCATGTGATCATATTACTCTCATATTGACCACTGCCGGGCCCTAGAGTGAGCATGATGGTAGAAGGCAATGAGTGATAGTTCTGACCTCATTCTCAAGGCAATTTAATACACCCACACGGAATTTTCACCACTAGCAGGGATTGTCCTACACTTATGCAACACTTCCATATTCTTAAACAGGCTCAGAAAATGTTTTGCTCTCCTTAAATTACTGTAACATTAATCCTTCACTAAAGAACACATATACTTACAAGTCTTGCCTAACCAGTCATACTGGAGGGTAGTAGCAGCAGAGTATTTTATTAATGCAAAATGTCAAGGCTCCATGCACACTGGGAGTTTTAATAACTCTGGTAACGTTAGCTGTGTAAAGTCGCATTAAAAACCTGAGTTTTTCAGCGTTTTTGTATTCGTGTTTAGCGGCATTTTGCCAATTTTTTTGCGGTTTTTTGGCCAAAAAACTCTAAAGATTTTTTAGTAAAAAAAAGTCCAAAAATGCTGGTTTACTGTGTTTTTCAGCATTAGAGCATTAGCTTTCAGCAAAAAAAAATCCTATAGAAACTCAATAGTCCTGGGTTTTATTTCCAGCCAAAAAACGCTGATTACAGTCTATATGTGCATAAACACATAGGATAATATGCTGGGGAGTTTACTGGCTGTAGAAAAAACATCAAATGTCAAAAACAGCAGCTGTAAAAATGTCCAGTGTGCATGAGGACTAAAAGTCTATGAGCTATAGATGATGTGAACAAAAGGACTAGTCAAACGTCAAGAATTTTAAAGGTCTGGCCTTTAACCACCTCCCGCCCGCCATATAAGTTAAAATGATGGGCGCAAGGCGGTTCTCTCGTTCTGGGATGACGTCCTCCCATTCTAACCGCACATGCGCGGCTCTGGGAGCATGCAGTGTGGCGATCGGTGGTGCTCTGTGTCCCTCGGACCCAGCAGATCACCGATCAATTAAAAGAGCCAAAGATTTCGGCTAGGTCATGTGATCAGATGTGTACAATCACAGCTGATCACATGTAAACAGGGAAATGCCGGTTTTCAGCATTTCTCTCCTCACAAGCTGTCATACCGACAGCTCGAGAGGAGACGAGAGCCGGTAATCGGCAATCATCGGAGGGGACATGTACACTGATCATCAGGGCACTGATGATCAGTGAGCCCTGATGATCAGTGTAGCCCCAGCAGTGCCACCTGTCAGTGTCCATCAATGCAAGCTGTTAGTGCTCATCAGTGCCACCTGCCAGTGCCACATCAATGCCACATATCAGTGCTTACCAGTGCACATCAATGCCGCATATCAGTGCTCATCTGAGCAGCCTTTCAGTGTCGCCTATCAGTGCCATCTATCAATGCCAGTCAGTGCCATCTATCAGTGCTGCCCATCAGTGCCACCTATCAGTGCCAGTCAGTGCCGCCTATCAGTGCCCGTCAGCGCTGCCTATCAGTGCCACCTAACAGTACCATTCAGTGCCGCCTATCAGTGCCCATCAGTGATGCCTGCCAATGCCAATCAGTGCCACCTATCAGTGCCCATCAGTGCCACCTATCAGTGCCCATCACTGTAGCCTCATTAGCGCACATCAGTGAAGGAGAAAAATCACTTATTTACAAAATTTTAGAACAAAAACTAAGAAAAAAACTTTTTTTTTCAAAATTTTCAGTTGTTTTTTGTTTTTTTTAGCAAAAAATAAAAAACCCAGAGGAGATTAAATACCACCAAAAGAAAGCTCTATCTGTCTAAAAAAAATTATATAAATTTCATATGGGTACAGTGTTGCATGACTGCGCAATTGTCATTCAAAGTGTGACAGCACTGAAAGCTCTAAATTGGCCTGGGCAGGAAGGGGGTATAAGTGCCCTGTAGGCAAGTGGTTAAAAGAGAAAAAAAAAAAAAAAGGCCCACAGAATAGGTACAATGTATATGCCCCATAACAGCAAAACAACACTGAATATAGCATAGATCTTCTACTTGCAAACAAGCAGTTTTTATATCTTAGATTGTAAACTCCAAGTAGCAGGGCCCTCCTAACCCTCTTGTATTGAACTGTATCGTTGCTGTATTGTCTCCCGTTATATTGTAAAGTGCTGAGCAAACTGTTGGCGCTATATAAATCCTGTATTATAATAATAATAACATTTTAATGTGCACAATTCAACCCTGCATGTTTATCTGTCAATATATTTAAATACCTGATTCAACCACTAGGTACGGTCCAAGGTACCTATTATACAATTATCTAGTTAAAGCTGTGATGTCCAGGTTAGATTATGACACTGTATTTTCTTGGAATCAAGATCAATAGGAAACACTCATTCCATGTAAATCTCTGCAGCGTGACAGAACGTTGACCTTGATGATGCTGGTTATGTTGTTTTGATCTTACAGAATATCAATATGCCACAATCCCGCTAACAGGGGTTTGGCTGTAACATACAACTGGGAGAAAGTGACAATGAATTCTCTGGAACAGCTAATTGTTATCATGAAACAGATTCATTATTAATCTGTGTGTAACTATATATTATATATTTTTATAAATTATTAAAGTGGAGTTCCACCCATTTTTACAATTTCCTTTTGTGTACATTACTATCTGCAGTGCATTTTTAAAAATTGCTAGTATCTTTATTTTTAATCTCTAAATACCTTAGCCAGAGCTGTGTATGCAGCACTTCTGGTCATCATTAGGAGATTCCTCTTGGACTCCTGGGATATCTGCGTCATCTATCCCAGGAGTTCATGGGAATCACCTAAGGTTTCAAGACAAGAAATGGCATGATCGAGAGTGATCGCCATAACAATGGTGGGGGAACTTTTCCAACGCCGACATTGCTATGGCAACCTGTCATGAAGAAACTGCGCTGCACAACCAAGTGCACCAAATCCCAGAAATAAACAAAAGGGGGCTTCAGATGCCCACAACCTGCCTGCTCCCGAGATCAGGTTAAATTTTATTGATTTTAAAGTGTTACTAAACCCACAACAGTAAAACCAGTCTGTATATGCAGTAAAGCATGCTTGTTATATTCACTGGGGAACCTAAAGGGTTAATCCTCTGCTTTGTGTAAAAGGGCCCTTTGATCCTCTTTTCTCTGCCTCTCCTTTTGTTCAAATGTCCACATCTTATCTGTCCAAACCTGTAGCCACATGCACATGCTCAGTTTGGTGTGTATTGCTAGAGAGGCTTTTTTTTTCTTGGGAGAGTGGATGTGATGAGAACAGGGCGAATCAGCACTGTCCAGAGAGAGGTCAGGGGTTTTGCATCCTCCTAGAACAGAAAGCAAACTCCTCCCACAAACTTTAATCAGTGCTCTGCTGAAGTCACAAGACTGCTCTAAGCGCTGATGAGAAAAGGTATTTAGCAGTTTATATTTACTAAAACAATTGCACTTCCATGTTGTGTGTACTCTGGGGAACCAGATATAGTGAATACAGGGTCCTGGGTTTAGTAACACTTTAAAGAAAGAAGAAGGAACACAATAATAACATTATTCAAATCTTAAAGTTGAAGTTATAACAGTCCCGAGGGAGTATTTAAAAAAAAAAAAAAAAAATATGGAGACTGGAGCTCTGCTTTAAGACATTATACATAGTATGCCTAGTTCTAATAGTAATGTATGTTTAGGGAAAAGGACTATGGTTAGCCATTGAAAGGCATCTACATTGTCTTCTCATCTCTCAACCAACGACAACACACATGGTTATAGAAACGTATACTGTGTGTATTCTTACCCATTTATACTCATTCACTGTGAAAATATTTCCATTATTAGGATAAAGGAGCAGTTCTTACTTGTGTGCTTTGTATTAGTTGAAATGTTTGCGTAACAATGTGTGAATGTCTCTAGAATCCATCACAGTGCTCAGCAAACATATAGCGGCAGTAGTAGTTTCAGACATATTTACAGAGTGAAAATTTCATGAGTTTTTCAAGTGCTTAAAATGAGTAACAGCTATAATTGAATTACAGGTTAAGTCTTCAATTATTCAGTTTTGTGTAGATGCCAATCAGGTGTGCCAACCATAGTTGTTTTTTTCATCAAAACTGGGAACTTTCTCTCTGGATGGCAAACTCAAGCAACTAGCTTTTTCATGGTGGAGTTTACTATTTTTAGTCTTTTCTGGTCCGGTCATGTAATCCACAGCTCTCTCATGTGTCAACGGATGCTGCAGGGGAGAAGAGGGAGAGCCACGACAGCTGGGACATGGGAACCTATGACTGACTTCACAGTTCCCAGAATTCATGGCCATTGTCAAGCACTCTCTCTTTTCCCCTGCAGCCACCACTGACCAACACAAGAAATCATGCGATGGGACCAGAGCAGACTAAATATAGATATATACACATCTATTTTTACATAGGTTAGGCAATATAAGCGGCTGGGAGAGAGAGGGAACATTTTTAAGACTAGTTAATGTTAGGCTGGAAGTCTACTTTAAATCAGACCAGAAAATCAAACATTAAACTGATTCTAAAGGGAAAAATGTATTTTGATAAAAATAACAAACATGTTATACTTATCCTCTCTGTGCATTGGTTTTGCACAGAGCAGCCCCGATCCTCCTCTTCTAGGGTCCCCCGTCGGTGCTTCTGACTCCCCCCCGCCGAGTGCCCACATAGCAAACTGCTTGCTATGGGGGCACTCATGCAGGCTTGCTCCCGAGCCCAGCTCTGTGCCCATTCACACACGGAGCATGGCTTGGCCTCGCCCCTGCTCTTTCCTCATTGGCTCACTGGCTGTGATTGACAGAAGTGGGAGCCAATGGTTGCTATCTCTGAGCCAATGAGGAGAGAGGCCCGGGAGAGCTGTTGCTCTTGTGCACAAGATCGAGATGAGGCGCTGGTAAGCATTAGGGGGTTTGTGTGTGTGTGAGGGGGAGGAGAACTGGTTGCAGAAGGTTTGCTACTTTAACTTCTTCACGCCAGCGCCTCCTGGCCCTTTAAGGGGTGTCAGACGCCAGGAGGCAGGGCAGGGTTTTAGGGTCATGTGATCGCCACGATTCGCTGTTAAGCGGTCATATAATCAGAAAAGGTCCCGATCACAAGGGGAGATTGTTACTTTTCTGTGAGACACCGACACATGTACTTGGAGCGCGCAGGGTGCTCACTCTCGGCACATATGTGTTTTCAAATGGTACGCAAATATCTGGCCGCTCTGCATCAAGGCCCAGCTGCTGAGAGGCTGCATATTTGCATCAAGGGGTTAATGCATAGAATGCATTAAGGTTAAAAAAACTTGAGATGTTAGAACCACTTTAATGATAGTTCCACACTCCCATCCTTGGGCTGCTAAAAAAATGGACCCTAGATATTTTTTTTTTACCAGTTAATGAGCCCTGATATTTAGGTATGTCTCAGAGTGGGGTCCTCGCCAAAGCAAAGAGTCCAATCTGTGTAAGACGTAGACTTTGAATGGCGGTCTCTGCTATTGTTGGAGTAGTGTCAACACCCGATAATGTAGGAGAGGAAAAAGAGAGATGTAGGAGAGGAAGAAGAGAAGACAGTGAACTTGTAGTGTGTATATGTATGTGTGTGTGTGTGTGTGTGTGTGTGTGGGGGGAGTAGCATGGACCACCAGACAATGGAAGACAGAGAAAATAAGCAATGTGCCTGGACTGTGAAAAGGGGAAGAGGAAGTAATGGCATTAAATAGTTAAGGGGGGTGGAAAGATCAGATTGTGATTGCAGACATACATACATGCATACAGTTGTGTTCAAAATAATAGCAGTCAGACATCACTAACCGGATCAATCACTGTTTTTGGTAGAAATTATATTTCTACATGGCAAATAATTTACTAGCAGGTGTAGTAGAGTAATAGAAATCCAACAGACCCAACAGTCATGACATGCATGTTGCTGATTCTGTGTAATTGAATCACTCATTGAAAGGGGCATGTTCAAAATAATAGCAGTGTGGAGTTATATTAGTGAGGTCATTCATTCTTTGAAAAACCGGTGGCAATTATTGCCCATATTTAAGGAAGGAAGGCAGCAAATGTTGTACATGCTGGTTACAGTGCATTTCTCTCTGAAATTCTGAGGAAAATGGGTCGTTCCAGACATTGTTCAGAAGAACAGCGTACCTTGAATAAAAAGTTGATTGAAGAGGGGAAAACATATAAAGAAGTGCAGAAAATGATAGGCTGCTCAGCTAAAAGGATAGCAAAGGCTTTAAAAAGGCAACCAAAACCTGAAAGACGTGGAAGAAAGCGAAAAAAACTACCATTGGAATGGATAGAAGAATAGCCAAAATGGCAAGGACTCAGCCAACAATCAGCTCCAGGAAGATGAAAGAAGGTCTAAAGTTACCTGTGAGTACTGTTACAATTAGAAGACGCCTATGTGAAGCCAAGCTATCTGCAAGAAGCCCCCGCAAAGTCCCACTG